AAGACTGAATTAGTTCTAATCTATATTTTCTCGTACACACATTACAAAATCATATTTCTTAAAAAAAAAAAACTACATTTGACAAAGGCGTTGATAAACAATTTTCTTGATATTAAGAGTAATAAAATCAGTGAGAAAAATAGTTGTCTGATGTCTTAATTATTTGTATTTTTGAGCTTACTATAAATACAAATGTATAAAAAGATATATTTTGTATACAAATAGGGTCTTTTGTATCGATTTTTTACATTTGCACAGTGTTTTTAGTGACATTTACCATGAGTTGGGTTTGGGATGATCTGTGTTGATACGTGAGGCAAGGCATTGCTGCACCCGCAATTAGCAGACAGGTACATGTTTTTGCAGTCCTGGTCTTTAATTGGCTCTTCCCAACAAACCGGAAACTGCCCCGTATTAAATAGACAAGACTGATGTGTTACTTTTCCACCCCACCGATTAAAACATTTTCGAGGCAGTTTTCTTGTCCCCCCCCCCCGGGGGGGGGGGGCCCGGGTTGCCCTCTCTCTTGTCCTTTAAATTTTAATGCAGTGTGTTATGGTTTGTATGAAGACTCTGAAAGACTTAGGAATCCCGCATTTCTTAAATTACGTTTTAGCGTTGTAGGGCTTCGTCTGTATGTCATTGGCATTGTCAGTCTTACAAGGCAGCAAGAGAAATGTGGATTTAAAGGTTTCAAGTTTGGGAACGTTATTACTTACATCAGAAGAAGTGCTTTATAAAAAATGGCATTATTTTGTATCACATTCTTCAATGTGAAATATCAGCTGGGCACGTAGTTGTTTGATAAAATCCTCGCTGTTACCTTTAGTTCCGTCCGTATAACAGGAATAGAAGGGGAACCACAGACAGACCTACACACGACTTTAGTATATGCTGGTACAGGTTTTCGTTAGGTGATTAGTCTTCCGTTGAATGATTAAACATGTCTTGTTTGCGTTTTATCAGTAAAATTCTCATCTTTATAGATTTTGCAAATGCTGTTGGAACTTAAGGACATGAAAGGGTATTACCTCATTGAACACAGAAGGTAAACACTTTTTCTGTGTTTGTTTCATCGTTACTACGAAAGCCAGAAATCGTGTTTCATATAAAAACTTTATTCATGCAGAATTTTTGTACTCTTTCATAGCATAAATTATACGACTAAATTGATTTATTGTATTGGTAATAGCTAAACTATTAGTCGTAACTTATATTTTAATATTAATGGAAACTACATGGAGACTTACCTCCAGCATAATTATATAAATTATATATTTTATATACGGCATTTTGAGGGGGGGGGGAACTGGCGTATAAATCAGGGTTAATAATATTTCAAGTGGAGCACTAAGTAACCTTATAATTTCTAGAGCTGAGTGACCAGATCTTGAAACTGAAATGTGGAATGCGATGTCATGAATGATTTATTTCGGTCATCTGTATGCTCTGCGTGACATTTTTCAGTCTTGGTGTAGAACTGTTGGTTCACACGTACAGTGCTAGAAATGTAGACTCTTACGTTGAAGAGGCGATGGTTTAGCATAGTCACACAATGATACTAATTTTTGCATGTAGTTTTTTTTACCTAATGTTTTGTATTTAAACATGGTGATCAGAATTGTGACCTTCATAAAATCTTGCTACTCAGGTTAGGTCGAAACTAATACTTCTTTATATGTAATTGCGTTTAACGGTGGAGTTATGAACGATTTTATGCTTACCCGGTGTGACAGTATTCGGGGATTTTAGGAGTTCTGCCCATAAATGTATGCTGCACTTTCTTGTGTGCCATTTCAAAAAGGAATTGACTGTATGCACACGTTTGTAAAAAAAAACATTGTGCATATTTTTTAATGGCTTGAATCACTATTCATGCAGAAGTTTTTAGTAACTTCATTTGTAGGATGTAGTGTACGTTTCCAAACGTATTAAGTTCTAAATTACGTTCACCAAAGTTCCGCAGACTTCCGACGTTTTCCACAAATTCCCAGAACTAAATAGTAGTCAAGTAATTTAACGTATTGTGATAAGATTCCTGAAAAGTCATCGCCAATCTCAGAGGCAGCAGGTGTTGGAGGATGCGAAATTCGGCGGGAGGGGTTCTGAATTTCTGATATTTTTTCCACTACATAAATTATAGCATCTTACAGTTCACGTTTTCGTAACGTGTTGACAGACTATCGACAATGACTGTACGATCTCAGTAGGAATAGACACGGCTCACAAGTGGACTTGGAGATGCAAACCCCAAATTTGACTTGTTCTTTTGTACGTAACCCAAAACAAGCCCGTCTGAAGATTTCCCCGGTGTGTTTCTAAGCGTCCCCCCCCCCCCCCCCC